TCACAAAACTGGCACAATGTGGTGTGAACAAGATTTGAGAACTGTGGTGGAAGGAATTTGAATATGTGTGTGTGTGTTTGTGTGTGTGTGTGTGTGTGAATAAAAACTTTTGTGAACAATTCATTTTTGTCTATTTTTGACAAACAATGCTATCACATGGCTTTAGAAGATAAAGCATACCCCTTGTGAAAAAGAAGTGTACTATACAGTATGTACTAATTATAATTTGTAATTTGTGGTATTCAGTGTTACATTTTAAGTATTATGTTCAGATATTTTAAATGTACGTTATTGCAACATCATTACAAATATGTTTAAATACATGACATACAAGTTTTAATAGAAATTACATTAAAGTATATTTTTAGCTTAATATAAATATTTGTCAGTACATTCGTCAGTTCACTTTAACCATATTTCAAAGACAACAGACGTAATTATGAAATTACATATAAATATGTCTACCTGGTCTCATGGCAAAAACGTACCTGGGGGCACTTTTTTGCGATATGCAAATTACGTACCAATATTAAGTCCTACTTAAGTGAGTCAAAGGGCCAACTAACAGTATTTAATATACATTTAAACTATAATACATTTTAATTTATTTGCAGTTAACATACAACTAAGTATCCAAAAACATTATATTAATTTTGTAAAAAGTGTATTCTTTTAAAGCATATTACTCTTTTTAAAAGTATGCTAAAGTGTACTTCTTCTCACAAGGGTCTGAAATTGTTTGTGAAATTTTCTTCTTTTGTGTTAACCGAAGAAACCAAGTCATGTGGGTGAAGTTTCTTTTTGAGTCACCTATTGCCAACATCAGGCATCCACAAAATATTCTTATTCACCCTAGTGTATTGATTTAAGAAAACATTTCTGAAAAAAAATATTGCCTTCACACATGGTAGCCTTTGCAGCGATGCAAAAGGTGTCGAAGATTGATATCCTTGGAGGTGAGAAATAAGCACCACTTCAGACTGGATCATCACTTTGATCACAAGTGTAAAGTGAGCAGGGTTGGAAATCAACCGGCTGGACTGAGGTTTTCGCCCCAGAAATACGAACTGCGTCAGTGTCTGCGCAGATCGATCACAGACTTGTTGAGCACCAGAGGAGGTGAAGAAAGAAACCAATCCAGAGCCTCTACTTCAAGCCAAGAACATACTGGTCATGCATTTTTGACCAAAAAAAGACAACATGATCTTTATATTCCAACGTAGTACTACAAGGATCAACATTTCATGATGATGACATCAGTGTTGCTATTTCAGGGTACTTAACTGGGGTCTTCTGCAGTTCTGAGTGTTTCATCTATAAACCCCTATGTCATTAACGCATGTCGGGTAGTGTTGATGAGCCGGAGCGGGGGTGTTCTAAAGGGGCACTTCAAAAAGTCGACACGGATGAATCATTTATGCTAAAGGTACCATGGAAACTGGCGTAGCCTTAGCATGCCTTAATAAGCCAACCCCACTGTTTGTTTAGCCAGAATGGATGAGGCTCGGCACACTCCATGCGGCGCTGAAATATAGATCGCGCAGCAGCCTCACCCAAATCTGCTGGTGTTTTCACCCCTCCTTCAGAGATGAGAAATCAAAATGTTTTCTCTGCACTCCAGCGCTGACAGAAATACGAGATCAAGCCAGGGAGGAGATATGATCAAACTAAGTCATATAATTGCTAGAGAGGGGTAGACAAACATAGCAAAAAAGTATCTAACTCTTAATTACAAAGGGAATCAGGCCGCAATCAGCTTTTTCTCCACACAAGTTTCATCAGGTGGTTTATAAACACTTTGCATGTTTTAAAATTCATTTGACAGTTAACGTAATGTTAGCATCCGCTGGGAAATCTCGACAGCCCATACATTATTGATGTCTGAAGATTGTGTTGGCTACTTTAGGTTTATATAGTTCATGGCATTTGCAAGGCAAACAGCACCATCACTGCTCATAGTGGTAATTTTAAACCCCAACGAAATATTGGTAACATTTTGGTTTAGGGACCAATTCTCACTATTAACTAGTTGCTTATTAACCTGCATATTACTATCATATTGGATGTTTATTAATACCTATAAATCACATAGTAACGCCTTATTGTACATGACCATATTTTAGATCCCTTAACCCTACCCCATACCTAAACTAAAAAAAACTACCTTAAATATAGCAAATTAGGAAAAATCATAGTTAATAGTTAGTTGATAGCGAAAACAGGTCACCAAACTGCAAACACCAAAGTGCAACCGAAATATTATAAGAACATATCAAAATAAAGCACGAAACTCAGGCTCACAAGTTTATATAATTTATATTAATACTATTTATGTACATTATATAGGGAAGATGAGCCGCTGTGACAAAGCCGCCGCCCCTCGCACCCCAGACCAGAGAGGGGAGTGCGTTCGACCGCTGGACTCCGCCCCCTACCTGGACCCCTCCATTCTTCAGTTTTGGAGTAAACAAGTTAATGAATTTAATTGACACATATTTGTCAGTAATACATAAATGAAAAAAAAAAAAAAAGTAAGAAACGGGTAAGATTCCCAAACTAAAAATCATAGCTTATTCTAAACTATTTGCTATTGGACTAATAAATAATAAAATCATATTTTAAAAATGCCTTTATTCTAAAATTTATTCTAAAATTAAGTTAAAATACAAACTTGGTTAAAATATGTATAGCTGTGGAACAAGAAATATTGAAACAAATTTGATTTATTGATGATAAAAATATAAACCTGATTATTGTGCATGAAAACATTTTCAGTTTATTACAGAAATGCTACCTGTTTCATTTGTGTTTGACTGACAAATATACAAGTTTATTTGCTTATTAAATATTAATATGAATAATACAAACGGCCCAACACATTACTGGAGGTGAGCTTCCCTCCCCCCAGGCCATCTACAACATTTGTTGTGTGAGGAAAGCCCGGAAGATAATCAAAGACCCTAGCCACCCCAGTCACAGTCTCCTCTCACTACTGCGATCAGGCAGACACTATAAAAGCATCAGGGCCCACACCAGTCGACTGCGGGACAGCTTCTTCCCTCAGGCCATCAGACTGCTAAACTACAACTGATGCACTACAACTGTTGCACAAATATATCATTAATATAACAATACAACATACACATACACATTTTATATACTATGTATATGCCTACCATAAGTCAATTTCCTGATGTTACGTATATTATGTCTTACGTATTGTATTATCGGTGCTAATGGCAGTACTGTCTGTGTATATATGTATATCTATTCATCTGTTATATATACAACACTGTGCATACCTGTACATACGTGTACATTGTATATATGTATATTGTATACCATTGTTAATTGTTAATTGTATTGTTCTCATATGTGAAATGTCTGGAACACACACCTAAGCTTTTCACACATCATTTACTTGTAAATGCTGCAGTGACAATAAAAGTGAGTTGAGTTATTACATTTAGGCCTAAATATTTTGAATGCTACACAGTTTACACTAAGACATAAATACTACTTTTTATGCATGCAAATTTACAATTTTAACCTTAAAGAGTTGAAAATTCTGTTATCATTTACTCATCCTCATGCTGTACCATGACATTAATTTGCAGAACAAAACTGGCTTTGTCCAATGAAAATCAGTGGGATCCAAAACAACACTGGAGCTATTTGACTTCCATTGAATGAACAATAAACGCTTCAAGATCTTCAAAATATCTTATTCTGTGTTCCAAAAAGAAAGTCACACAGGTTTGGAATGACATAAGGATGAGTAAATGATGGCATCATTTTCATTTTTGGGGTGAACTATGCTTGATGGGCACAAAATGGGCACACAATCCCAAATTTAAATTGAAGGAGCCATAGATGCCTCAATATCTCATACATAGGCTTTGAATACTGAACAGGATGACATTTTGGTTGTTATTTTTAGATCTTTGAATCAAAACTGCGCTTTAACCTAGTGTTTCTGTCATACTTGATTCTTCATGAGATGTTGGCGTAATAAATTCGTAGCCTCAAGAGTCCTTGCTCAATCCACTCACATTTAGCATAACCTGATGCTAAGTGCCTCTCATGTCTATTTTTTCTCACTTCGCATCTCAATCTAGTGTTTCTCGTATCTATAATTTCTATTCTGTTTATGACACTTGTGGTTGAGTGAGACAATAATATTATTATTAAATTTGGAAGCGGCGCAGAGTCAAGTGTATTTTCAGAATAAGTAATGCCAAAATGTTTTCCTTTGCTAGACGAAAGCAAGGAGTTACTGAAAGATTCATAGCAGCCTCGTTCAACAGGCATTTCCATGGCAACCCAACATTTTCGAGCGGGGAATGAAGGCCATAATACATCGCTAGACTAGCTCTCATGCGCTTTGATCTCTTTCCGTCTCTCTCTCTCTCTCTCTTTATCCCTCATCTCCAGCCCTGCCATACACAAAGCTGTTTTCTCACGAGCGCATCATTGCCCATGTCCACAGCTTAGAGAACTTTTGAAACTTTCACAAGTTAGTGTGCATTGTGTAAACATTGCTTTAACGCACAGCAGACGAATAAAACAGACTGAGGTCAATACCATGAGGTTACACAACAATTCCTCTCAAGTACTGAGTAAATCTGCGTTACACACCATGTAGAAAACAATCCATCCATAATTCATTGTGTGTTTTTCTGTTGTCAAATGCAATAAATCAATATCTCTCCCAGCCAGTGGCATGCATATTAGAAATGGTTCATATATTTGTGAAATCAGTTGAATTATTACACATTGCCTCGGGTTTAAGAAATGAGAGCAGTGGATCTGTTTTCTTTGGCTTCTCTTCATTGTGTTTGACTTTAGTAAACCATAAACCATTTTAGTAAATCATTCACAAAGATAAAGGTGAGCCGTTTAATCCTCCATCTTTACCGCACTTGTACTTGTGTCTCATGCAATTATCCAGTCTCTCTCTCTCTCTCTCTCTCTCTCTCGGGATTGTGGGTAGTGGGAGGAGTTTGGAGCTTTGGAGCACGCTTTTGAGTTTGTTTCGCTTTATTAAATATATATTTATATTTTTCTAAGATTTAGTTTAAAATATTTAATTTAGTTTATGCACTGACGGAGGTCGGCGAACTTGAACAGATGGGGTCAAGCGAAGATTTTTCACGCTTGACTCTCAGACACGGATTTAAATGCATGCCAGATGACTCCATATCTGTGGAAGATGTGTTGATTGCAGTCAGTGAACAGGTTGGTGGGCTAAATATTAAGTCAACTTCTAGAATGAATAAAGCTGTTGTTGTTTTTCTTGCTGATGTTCAGATGGTTGATAATTTGATTGAACGTGGAATTACAATTAATGACACATTCTTACCAGTACTGCCTTTATCGAGTCCATCAAAGAAAATAGTGTTATCGAATGTTCCTCCGTTCATTAAGAATGAAGTTATTCAGAGGGTGCTTGAAAGATATGGTAAATTAACAGCACCTATTAAGATGATCTAGGTTTGAAAAACCCACATATCAAGCACGTCATGTCTTTTCGGCAATATGCATACATGATATTGAATGAGCAACAGGATCCGCTTAGCTTGGCTGTGAAACTAACAAATGAAGGCAAAGATTATACAATCTTTATTAGCTCGGATCAAATGCGATGTTTTTTTGTGCGGAGAACAGGGACATGTTAGGCAAACGTGCCCAAACAATCAAACAAACGGATAAGCCGTCTCGTTCGAAAATAATCGAACAAGATGTTGGCATGAATGAACATGAACATGAAATGAACATGTACCTGTTGTTGAAACAGTGCCTACAAAGCAAAGTAATGTTAATAGAGACGCAGAGAACTGTGATAGTGCTGAAACGATCGAAAATCAAGCTGGTGTTGGGGAAAAGTCCTCGCCGAAAGTAAATGAAGATGACAAATGATTAGAAAAAGAACAAATAGGAATAGAGAACAATGAAGTAGATGCTGAAAGTGAGGCAGCTGAAGAAAGTTACACTCAGATGTCCGCTATGAGTTCAGAATATGCTCATTCTGAAAATGATTCAGACGATGATCTAGAGAGTTTAGGGATGATGGAGAGGATGCTGAAAGAACGGAATCATTTATTCCTAAGTTGTATACAGTAAAGCAAATAAGTGATTTTATTGATTAAACCAAAAGGAGCTCGTAAACCACAAACTGAGGCATTTTTCCCGGATTTGAAGCGGTTTTTGGTGTCTTGCAAGACTGCAATGAGAAAAGCAACTTTTGATGAACTCAGTAGGCAGAAGCAGTATCGCCTTAAAAAAATAATAACAAAGGTGAAAGGCATGACCAATCATGATGGGAAAAAAATCTGATTACTACAGAATGAGGAAGAAAGAATATATAGCTTGTTGTTTGATATCAGTCACTTTTTATTTATAAGCACTATGACATCCTTGAATTTTGGATCTCTGAATGTTAATGGATGCTGTAGTGCTGAAAAAAGGACTACTTTGTTTGATTTTGTAGGTTTGAAAAAAGCAAGTATCGTTTTTCTGCAGGAAACACACACAGATATGGACAATCAGGCACAATGGCTGAGTGAATGGCTTAGCCATAGATCAAATATTAGTGCCGGAGTGGCAGTTCTTATTTCTTTGGACTTACAAATTCAAGACAATAAGGTTACAGAAATGATACCTGGTAGAATGCAAATATTAGATTTTAAGTTATATTAATTATTTTTTTCTCTTATTAATGTTTATGCTCCAAATGATGGTGTAGAAAGAGTCTCTTTAAAAAAAAAATAAAACATGTTATTTCAGAAATTTCAAATAATAGAATAATAATTTTAGCTGGTGATTTTAATTGTACTCTTGATTACACTATGGATAGGAATCATGTCAAGCCTCACTTAAAATCGGCTGAAACTCTCAAAACCGTAGTCCAGTATCATCATTTTGTTGATGTATGGAGAGAAGATTTTCCTAGTGACAGACAATATACAGTACGTGGTTAAAAATAAATGCTGATAAATGCACCAGAAGCTAACACAGTTTCTGGTGCACGACTTGATAGGATTTATGTTCAAATGGGTAATAGAGGAATATTTTTTAATAGTTATATTTCGCCAACATCACTTTCTGATCATCACTATGTTGCTGTAACTATGTCTATAACATAGAGCATTTCCTATCATAATTATTGGCGTTTTAACAATAGATTGTTGCAAGATAAATCCTTTGTACAATTTTTCACTCAGTTCTGGGGAGAGTGGAGAGAGAGAAAGTCACAGTACAAAACTCTAGGCCAGTTGTGGGACATCGGAAAAGTACAGATCCAGATTTTTTGCCAACAATATACAAGGAATCACACGGTTGAAATGAGAGAAAAAGTCAATTTTTTGGAGCAGCAAATTCTTAAGCTGAGTAGCACCATTGGTGTGGGTGAAGATACAGAGACTGCAAGGTTGCTTGAAAAGTATAATTTGCTTCTAAAGAATTCGTATGAAGAAAGGAGTCATAACACATCTATACGTGGAAAATTTCTTCAGTTAAACAGTATGGATTTTTCAACAACTTTCTTCTTTTCATTGGAGAAGAATATTAGAGAAAGGAAGAATATAAATTATCTCAAACTGTTAAATGGAAAATAAATAACTGAAAAGAAAAATAATTTCACAAGTTTTATGGTTTTATGAAGATTTATATAGTGCACAACCTTGTAATCTTGACGCAACTGATCAACTTCTAGATGGACTTCCACAGCTTGGAAAAGAAGATAAAGCTGATTTAGAAAAAACACTGTCTTTTCAGGAGTTAAGTAAGGCCTTACAGCAGCAATCTTCAAGAAAAACACCAGGGCTGGATGGATTGACTTCTGAATTTTATAAAGTTTTTTGGTCCATTATAGGACAAGACCTGCACGCTGTGTTTCTTGAAAGCTTTGAGTCAAAAACCTTACCTCTCAGTTGTAGAAGAGCTGTGGTAACCCTTTTACCTAAGAAAGGAGATCTTGGATTATTAAAAAACTGGCGACCAGTCTCTCTTTTAGGAACTGATTACAAACTTTTATCTAAGGCTTTGACAAATCGCCTGAAAAAGTCTTTAGCATCAATTATCCATGGAGACCAGTCTTACTGCATTCCAAAGTGTTCTATATTTGATCATCTTTTTCTTGTGCGAGATATGTTGTATTTAACAGAATTGCATAAACTAGATCTGGGCCTTGTGTGTTTGGACCAAGAAAAGGCCTTCGACAAAGTTGACTATGCATATTTATTTAAAACGCTTGAAGGCTTTGGCTTTGGAGAACAGTTTACTTCATGGGTAAGGCCTCTGTATAAGGATGTTTACAGCATGCTGAAGGTTAATGGAACTCTGACAAGACCTTTTCCGGTGCATAGAGGAGTGAGACAAGGTTGCAGCTTATCTGGCCTCTTGTACACGATTTCTATTGAACAATTGTTAAGGATGTTGAGAGAGAAGTTTCGAGGATTGACTTTTCCATCATCTTGCCTCTCGAATACACCAACAGTGAAACTAACAGCTTATGCTGATGACATCACAGTTATTATTATATCTGAAGATGATGTTAAACATCTGGTTTCATGTCTCAATATATTTCAGAGTGCATCTTCTGCACAGGTTAATTGGGAAAAAACTGATACCCTGTTATTGGGTCATTGGTCAGATCAGAACCCACCTCAGCTTCCACATCAGTGGCTTTGGAATAAAGAGGGCGTTAAAATCTTTGGACTATTTTTGGGACTGAGCAGCATATGAAAAAGAATAGGGAAGGACTTATAGAGAAAGTGACTGGAAAGCTGCCGAGATGGAAATGGATTCAAGCCCGGCTTTTTTACAGAGGCAGAGTGTTAGTAGTGAACAATCTTGCTGCCTCGATGCTGTGGCATCGTTTAACAGTATTGGATCCTCCAAAAGACCTCTTGTCAAAACATCAAAAAGCTTTTGTGGATTTCTTCTGGGGTGGCCATTATTGGCTTCCCCCTGGAGTACTTTGTCTTCCTGTCAGTGAGGGCGGTCAAGGGTTAATCCATCTAACCTCTAAGGTGAAAGCCATGAGGTTACAAACTGCCCCAAAGCTGCTTTATTCTTCAGACTCTGTACCATCGATTAGTTTTGGTCTTGTCATCTTACAAACAAAAAGCAAGATGGGGCTTGATAAACAGATGTTTTTAATTTCAGAAAATGTTGTAAAAGATAAGACTGTTATAAAGTTTTATGGATCTGTTTTTGAAGCTCGGAGGTATTTTAAGTTGGAGCGGAGAGAACATTTTGGCTTTGATTAACCACTTTTTCATAACCCCTGGTTTTGTCAAAACTGTACTACGTCTAACACAGATATCTCTAATTTTGTTTCAGCAGGAGTAACCAAAGTTATAAATTTGTTGGATTTGTCAAAGAGAGAGTGGTTTTCAGTACAGGGGTTTACTAAGAAGATTGGAAGTAGATCAGAGGGAATAGTGGGTAATATTCTGAAGAGTTTGAAAACATCTGTTCCTAGACCTTTACAAGAGTTTATAACAAATTTTATGTCTGGTAATTTTACAAAGGTTCTTTTTCCAGAAGTGTATGTAACTCCAAAGATAGATCAGGATGAAAATAATAATGGTGATAATGCGAATATGTTGCTGTCTTTTAAAGGCTTACAAAGTCTTCCTTTTTCTATGGCAAGCAAACAAAATGTATATAACGTTTGTGTAAAGTCATTCTTTGTGGGACAGTTAAGAGAGAGGAGAGATACAAAATGGAGAACTTATTTTTCTGTATCTGAAAATAAATCGCCTTCTTGGTGTTCATTGTATAAAAATCCTCTTCCAAAAAGGTCTGGTGACTTACAGTGGCGAATTTTGCATTGTTCGTTGGCAACAAAAGTGTTTTTGTTTAACTGTACATTTTCAGTTTCTTCGCATTGTACTATGTGCAAAGAACCTGACACTGTTTTTCATGTTTTTTTGTGAATGTTGTAAATTATTTCCTCTTTTCAACATTTTAAATGGAATTGTCAGCAGGTTAGGTTTAAATTTCTCAAAAACAATGTTCATTTATGGGTTTGAATACTCTCGCAATAAGAAGGAGATTTGTACTTTTTCCAACTTTCTACTTGGACAGGCAAAGTTAGCCATTTGGAAAGCTTATAGAGTTGAAATGGAAGGTCAGGAAGTTAATATGGTCAATTTGCTCAAGGCCATAGTTGAATCTAGGATTCGATTGGAATATGAATATTATCGAGTAAATAGTGATGAATTGATGTTTGAGAATAAATGGTGTTTAAATAAGGGTTTGGTTTTTGTAGAGGATGAAAACCTATTTTTTAACTGGTAGTGAATTATAAAATGTTTTTGTATGTGAAAATGTTTTTAATGGTAAAATAAAATTGCTTTTAAAGGTCTCTCTCTCTCTCTCTCTCTCTCTCTAGGGTTTAGTGGTGGCTGGATTAAGAGATTATGGTGAGCAAAGCACATACTTTGCTAGGACGTGTGGGTGGATGACACGGCTGGTCAGGTGACTCTGCAGCTGGATTCAAACAGATGTAAGCCAAGATCTAATTCACAGGTGTCCTAGTTAGTGTTCACTGCTGCCTACACACTTAACAGAGGATGCCTGGAGATGTCAAGAAACACAAATGAAAATTGAGTCACATATTAAAAGTTTACACACACACACACACACACACACACACACACACACACTAAACAAAATATAAAACGCATACAAGTTTTTTTTTTCTTTTTCACTTCCAACAAATGCTATTCTCTTGAACTTTCTTTTCATCAAAGAAACCAGAAAAAAATTAAGCCATATAAATGTAGTAAGCACCTATTATTAGCATTGTTAATAAGAAATGTTTCTTGAGCAGCAAGTCAGCATATTAGAATGATTTCAGAGGGAAAAAATAACAAAATTAATAAATTACATTTTGATTTTTTTGGTAACACTTTACAATAAGGTTCCATTAGTAAATGTTAGTTAATGTATTAACTAACATGAACAATACATTTATTACAGTATTTATTCATCTTTGTTAATGTTAGTTAATGAAACTACAGTTGTTCATTGTTAGTTCGTGTTAGTTCACAGTGCATGAACTAATGTGAACAAGCACAAAATTAGATTTTAATAATGCATTAGTAAATGTTGAAATTACACTCTAAAAAATGCTGGGTTGTTTCAACCCAACTTTGGGTCAAATATGGACTAACCCAACTTTTGGGTTAAAAATTGAATGTAAAAATGTAACCCAACGGTTGGGTTAGTCCATATTTGACCCAAAGTTGGGTTGAAACAACCCAGCATTTTTTAGAGTGTAACCTTAGCTAAGATTAATAAATGCTGTAGAAGTATTGTTCATTCTTAGTTAATGTTAACTAAAGTAGTTAACTAATGAACCTTATTGTAAAGTGTTACCTTTTTTTTTTTACATAAAAAACTTTTTAATTATTATTAATCAATAAATCAATAATAAGTCACTATTTTCTTTTTACTGTTTTACTGTATTTTTGATCAAATAAATGCAGCCTTATTGCATAAGAGACATTTTTTGAATGGCAGTGTATGTGTGTAGATATTTTTAAAGGAATGAAAATTCTGTCATCATTTTTCACCCTCGTGTTTGTTTTTTTTCTTCTTTCTTTCTGCTAAACAAATAAGAAGATATTTTGAGGAATTTTGGTTACCAACATTCCTCAAATGTAATTTTGGTTACCATTGACTTCCATTGAAAATTCTGTCTTCATATACTCACAATCATGTTGTTACAAACTGACGTGACTTCTGTGAAACACAAAAGGAGAAATGTTACAAAATGTGCTGGTCACTCTTTTACATAATGAAGGTGAATGGGGGTGTTATGCTCCAGAAAAAAAAAAAGAAAAAAAAGTAATTCACATGACACTTATTCCAATCCAAGTATTCTGAATTCAGCTGTTTAATTCATTAATTCATTCACCAGCACTATTTTAATTTAGCTCTGAATTTCATGTTAAGCTGGGAGATCAGCTGATAAACCATCTGAACACCGGTTTGGTCAGGCTGAAAAACTAGCTAAAGCAGTTTAAACTAGTTATGACCAGCATACCAGCTGATTTAATCTTTTTTTCGCTCTGTGTGTGTATGGCTAGAGGGAATATTGGCGTGTGCTTCTTCACAACACGTGATCACAGCATGCAGGCAAAGCAGAAGCTGCAAGAGAAGAAACTATCCACAATGGACTCACGGATTCAATTAGCAAATGTAATAATAGTTGTAAATGCTGCTCTACACAGCATTCACACCACAGGGTCGAGGTTGGGTTGATTAGCCATTTTCACTAGAGTAAATGCAATACTTGTTTAAAACTCCACAGACATTTGTTTAGAACTAAATCTGCCGGACTAGAATGCATGATGAATGTAATGAACTGAAATAGATCTGACCTCCAAATTATGTCAAATTAATAGACAGCAAGGTCCCTTGTAATGATTACTTTTGACATAAATAACCATGGCCAAGTTCTAGTCACATACTAGCATTGCTGTGAAAGGATGGCATCAAGGACTTCCTTTCAGAACCATCAATGTGTTACTATGTCAACAGTTTTCACTCATAACAAAGATGGAAATTGGAAGATCGAAAAGAATGATGGGAAAGTTCATGCAAAGGTATTGTTATATAAGACGAGAAAAATCTATTCATATCTGCCAGGATGTTCTGTTCATTGTCAATATCTATCTATCTATCTATCTATCTGTCTGTCTGTCTGTCTGTCTGTCTGTCTGTCTGTCTGTCTGTCTGTCTGTCTGTCTGTCTGTCTGTCTGTCTGTCTGTCTGTCTGTCTGTCTGTCTGTCTGTCTGTCTGTCTGTCTGTCTGTCTGTCTGTCTGTCTGTCTGTCTGTCTGTCTGTCTGTCTGTCTGTCTGTCTGTCTGTCTGTCTGTCTGTCTGTCTGTCTGTCTGTCTGTCTGTCTGTCTGTCTGTCTGTCTGTCTGTCTGTCTGTCTGTCTGTCTATCTGTCTGTCTGTCTATCTATCTACCTGGAAGTTACAGGTCACAAAACATAAGGCATGACTGCCCTCTGGTGGATGAAAGTAATAAAGCAAGCTCTTTTATTGCTTCATGACATGCATCATGAATAAGGGAAAATTATACATTCGGTAAGTAACTGTTAAACATTTAGTCTTTTAAATGTTCACCAAAGCTGCATTTATTCGATCACAAATACAGTGGATACAGTATTTTCTGAAATATTAAAACAGATGTTTTTTATTTGATCAATGGAAAGTTCAAAAGAACAGCATTTATTTTACCTAGATTTTTGTTTTTGTAGCAATAAATTGTTTTTTACTATATTATTTTACAATAAAAGTTTTTGACCAATTTAATACATCCTTGTTGAATAAAAGCATTAATTTGAACTCTGCACTGTGTATTTTGAACTGAATCATTACTATTCAAATGTCTCCATGAGGCATAAAGCATTTTTACAAAAAGTAGTGTGAAAGTAGAATGCTTACAAATTAAAGAACATCTGGAAATGCTTACACCAGTATAATTATCATAACCGACATATGATAATCTCATCTCACATCATTTTAGCCTACAGTCTTATGTTGCTCTTTATTAGTAACTATTAGCCTGCTGATATTAGTAAATGTTGAGGGCTGTAGGTGTTACTCTCCCCAGGGAGATACAAGTCTTAACTGAAGATGTGTGTGCTCGTAGCATCTGCTGTTACTGGTGAATACCTGCATCTGACCCGGATTGCAGGGATGAGTTATTCTCCTGAGAAATGTCAGCAATCCCCGGAGGATGCTGAAAACATATGGACATTCCTAACCCAGGTAACTGGAACATCTTCCCATTGGCTCTTGGGCTTACCCCACAAGAGATGTGATTCACTGTCCCAGGAACATTCAGAATCAGTTTCCAGGTGCTCTCAAACAGGGGTGAATGAGTGAGAAACACAGTGATTAACATGTCAGTAGTGCTTTCTGTCACCAGTTTTTCTTTTCAGTGTTTTTTCTTCATTTTGGTTTCAACTTTGCTCTACATATTCGGAAAAAAAAAAAAATTCAATAAACATTTTCAATGTTCAGTGCTCAATGTTTAAATTTCACAATGAATTAAACCATCAATCTTTTTCCATGCAGACTTACATTTTAAGTCGCTGGACTGTGGTGCGAATAACTTTTTCAATCTCAAAAATAACAATTTTAATTTAACATTGCTAACAGTCACTATAAACATACGCACGAAACACATGGAGATTTGTGTAATGTGACAATTAATGTTAAATCGGTTTAGTGTAGAAATGATCTATGGTCAAATACAGTTGTAGGAATACTAAAAACACAAAACAGTCCCCATACCGAAAAACACGACCTGAAACTTATTACACAATCAAAGTTCAGGATTTCTTTCACCTTTGACCTGTTGACAAAGTCTCACCATTTTAACACTTACGCCTAGTTATAAAATCACAACGGACTCATTCCCAGGGCCGGATTTACGCATTTATAGGCATTCTAGGCACGTGCCTATGCTTGCTCGTCCAGGGGGGCCCAAACACAATGAAGAGATATATCATATTTTTGTTATACTATGGGATATCTATAACAGTAAAAGAACCAAAACCCCAGAAGACATTGAGCAAATAAATATAACAAACAATAGGGTAAAATTGACAACCTATTTCCACGTCTTCAACCTTTTTTATGTACGGAAATCAGCTTTCTTTCTCCCGTTTTCTCTCACACACGCGCACACATAGAAACGTACTCGCGCACACACGCGGAGACGCGGACAGAAACTTGTCATCAGTGCTGAGGCTGCACCGCGAATTTATCAATAAAAGAGTTTCGCAGCAGAAAAGCTACATGACATTTCTCAGTAGCGAGGTTCTTGAAGCAGTTCAACTTAAAGATTCGCTATTAGTAAGACACTGCTGCTGAACACTGCTGAGAGACGCACAGACGCAAGTATTCACACGCACTTAATCTCTCTCTCTAATAACTGCGTTAGCCTGCATATCAATGGCTCAAGCCTCTGTTACTAGCTCTAAAATTACGTTTTGGAATTTGCAAAGGAAGGTTTGGGATGAGGTGCGTAAAAAATTAGCTAGTTCAACACCCACGAGATTTCAGTGGAATTTTCTCTCCTCCACAGACCAAACCACAGTATGTGTCATTTCTCCTTTTTAGTTTTTCTGTTAATATAATAGGCCTATATTGACTTATTAAGTTAACCTTTATTAACTTAAGCCACATATTAGCTAACTTAGCTGGCTAATTACATTAGTGACCACTTGTGAGTCGCCATGCCACTATATCCAACTAATGCTAATCTTGGCTGTTTAAAGCACATGTTTTTGTTTTTTTAAGAAACTAGATATTAAAAAGTGGAAAAGGGGCTCTTCTGTGGCATCAACTATAAACCCCATCTGGCAGAGCATCCTCTGAAGAGCCCAGAGGTAAAGTATGTTGCTGAAGGGCGCAGTGGACTTTCAGATATCACATCGCCTCTAACTGAAATAGTTTTTCATCAAGAACAGATATTACTTTTCGTCACCTGAGATGTCTTTCACACCATAAAATAAAATTCAAAGTGAACTGTGCTCTAAAAAAAGTACTTTAAAACAAAAAATATGATTTTGAAATATTATTTTCTGCAAAAGTGTATGTATTATGATAATGAGATATTCACAGTCTTACAAATAAAGGTTCTGAAAGGGTGTTTTAATAGAAGAACCATCTTGGGTTCCCCAAGAACCTTTCAGTGAACCTTTTTTTTCTTCTTAGTGTGAAGATTTTAATAATCTGAAGAAGTTTTTCCACTAGAAAGAATCTTCTGTGCAATGGAAAGGTTCCAATGGATGTTAAAGGTACTTCATGGAACTGTCAATGGCAATAAAGAACCTTTATTCTTTTACGAGTGATGTGTTTCAGTCACATTATAATGTAGTATGGTATACAGTATAATTTTTTGGCTCATCTGTGATACTGTAGCAAGAGAAAACTTTCGCTGCATCCGTATATGCTTCTTTGCTATATAATGTGTAAAAAAAAAAAAACACTAGGCTAAAAGAGTACTATGTACATAGCAGTACCAATTATCATTAATATATTATTATAGTTTTAATTTTAGTGTTATCTAATGTTTTTAAAATATATATGTCTATAATTTTTAGTTTTAGTTTATTCAGTTTTATTAATTTTTAATACTTTAAAATGAGTTAGAAAATGAGAAATGTGGCAACTAGCTGAAGTAAAGTAAGTTTAATTTTTTTTTTTCATATTTTCTTTTATTTCAGTTATTGTTTATTTTATTTTAAGTCATTTGTTTATGGTTTTAGTTTTAGTTAATAGTATTTGAAAAACAGAAGGTGAAAAGTACCTGGATCCTCTAACATTCTGGCAGACCATTCAGCATTCAGTGGACACTTTGAATCACAGGTAATGGACGATATGTCACAAAACTGAAACAGACAAAAAGAACAGTTCCTAAAACCAGGATGAGTATAAGTCTTTTTGCTAATATGTTGTACGAATTTCCTAGCAAGTTGCCACATAAGCACAACCACAAGGATTTGAGTTTACATGCTTGACAAATTGCACAACTGCTGTAGTCCTTATTTAGCAACTTGTTGCATTTTAGAGCAGACACGGCATGCCTTCAAAAATATTTTTTGAGGTACGACTGTCCATAATTTATGTTGTAGAAAAAGATGTGTAAATCTGCAGAATTAATGTTCACCTCAGACTCATTTTATTCATAAATCAAAAGAGCAAAATTCAAAAACCCCATTCAAAATTCCTGTGGGAACCCATAGCGAATTAGCTTCCCAAGTCTATCTACAAATTGACGTCATGGCATGACTGAGCTGCTCTATTTGAGGAGTTTACGCAGTTTCATTTATCAAGGTCAGATGTTAACTATGGCGTATTAAACACTGGTAGTGGGAAACTGATGATACCAAAGGCAAAGTAGCAGTGACTAAATGTCAGATGATAAATCAATCGGCAGCTGCCCTGCAAATATGTCATTTCCAGCACATATTAGACATTCAGTCATTTGCTGTGAGGTCAGTGTAGAGATGTTTTTCCGATGGACTAATGACCAGGGGATACAAAAAGTGCATTCTGCCTTTGTCTGTCAGTGTCATTGCTGGCTTCAAAGTGCATCTATCACACAAATTTCCCTTTTGCTCATTTCTTACACACACTCTTTTCCACTGCTGACCGGACTCGGCACCCCCCATCAGTACCTAATGAGGGAGGACGTTTTTCACTTCATGCTATAATTGGCCCAGTGGAGAGTTTTAATGGAATCACTCAGGGAAATGGGCTCTTAAATACAATATGTTGGCCTGTCCTCCTCCTCTTTCTCACCTTGCTCACTCTATTTTTCTCTTGTTCTCTCTCCCTATATTTCATGGTCGAGTTCAAGGTGGAGTGGCTTTTGCAGGTACATTGCACTCAAAGGCCTTGCAATTATTCGCTGTCGTGTTTGTTTCTGTTTGGAGGTGCTGTAAGTAACAGCGACAAT